ACATGCATGCATGCATGCATGCATGCATACATGCATACATGCATACATACATACATACATACATACATGCATGCATGCATACATGCATGCATGCATGCATGCCTACATACATACATAGATAGATACATACATACATACATACATACATACAGACAGACAGACAGACAGACAGACACACAGACATATATACTTACATACATACATACATACATACATACATACATACATACATACATACATGCATCAATACATCCGTCCATATATATATATATATATATACATATACATACATACATACATACATGCATACATGTATACATGCATACATGCATACATACATACAGACAGACAGACAGACAGACAGACAGACAGACATACTGACAGACAGACAGACATACATATCTACCTAGATATATGCATACATATAAACATACATACATACATACATATACACATACATACATACATGCATACATGCATGCATGCATGCATGCATACATGCATACATACATACATACATACATGCATACATACATACATACACACACATACATACATACATGCATGCATGCATGCATACATACATACATACATGCATGCATACATGCATACATACATACATGCATACATGCATGCATACATACATACATACATACGTATATATATATATATATATATACACGCCATCGTGCCTCTGGCACGAAGTGGAGTGCCCCAAGGCTCACAGCTGTGCTGCTGCTGTTGCGGCCAGGATTGTGTTGTCAGCTGTGCTGCCACTGCAACCAGCCTTAGAGTTTCTTGAGAGGCCTGACCACCAACTTCCCGGGCGCTCTTGGCGCTCCCAGGGTGTTTCGTATGACCTCCGGGACGGCTGCAACGCCCCAAACGAACCGCAGACTTTCGCGGAGATCCCCGCCGAGCGCCCAAGACGCTCAAGGAGCACCTCTAGACGGCCCAATATGGCCCGAGACGACACAAGACACCTACAAGACGCCCCAAGACGCCTCCAAGAGGCCTCCCAAGAGGGCCCCAAGAGGCAAAATCATAGCTGTTCCTTTGGTTTCTGAAAGCTTTTGGGGTACTCGCGTTTTCGGCTTCCCGACGCTCCACGACGGCCCAGGAGGCCCCCAAGATCACCCCAAGACAGCCCAAAAGGCCCCCAAACGTCCCCAAGACAGCCCAAGAGGGCCCCAAGACGCTACAAAAGGCCTCCGAGAGGGCGCAAGAGGCTCTTAAAACGGCTCCCACAGGAGGCCCAGACAGGGTCCCCCAACGAACATTTCGAGCCCGCGGACCCAAGAAGTCCACAAGAGGCCCCAAGAGGCCCCCAAGGTCCCCAAGAGGCTTCAGGAGGCCCCCAAGAGGCCTCCAAGAGGCCTCCCAAGAGGGCCCCAAGAGGCAAAAATCCCAGCAAACCACCTGGAGGCATATGACCCACAACCCAGGCACGGTGGCGTGATGGGCCGAAAAACATTAGAAGATGTCTACACGAATATCTATATATATATATATATATATAAAAATATATACATACATACATACATACATACATACATACATACAGACAGACAGACAGACAGACAGACAGACAGACAGACAGACAGGCAGGCAGACAGACAGACAGACATACATATATACATACATACATACATGCATACATACATAAATACATACATACATGCATGCATGCGTACATACATACATACATACATACATACATACATACATACATACATACACATGCATGTATACATACATACATACATACATACATACATACATACATACATACATACATACATACATACATACATACATATATGCATGCATACATACATACATACATACATAAATGAATCCATGCGGGTGTGTGCGCATGTATGCATGTGTGTGCTTGCATGTATGCATGTATGGATGGATGGGTGGATAGGTGGGTGGATGGGTAAAGTTGTGTATGTGTATGTGTGCGCCTGTTTGTGTATGATTGCTTATCTGCTTGTTTGTACGCTTGTATGAATAGTAAGTATGTCTGCACGTATGTATGTATGCATGCCTGCCTGTCTGTCTGTCTATATGTATGTTTGTATGTATGCATGCGCGACTGATAGCATGTGTGTATGAATGCGTATACGTGTGGATGTATGTGTGTATGTGTATGCTTGTATATGCATGCATGTATGGAGGTGTGTATGTACGTTTAAAATGTATGTGTATGAAAGTGCGTGTGTGGCGGTATGTGTCTCGTGAGTTTGTATGTATGTGTATGGGTTGGTGTGTGCGTGTGTATGTTTGTATGTTTGTGTGCACGTATGGATGTACGTATGCGTGTGTATGTATGTATGTATGTGTGGTTACATGCATGCATGCATGCATGCATGCATGTATAGATGTATGCATGCATGCATGTATGCATGAATGTGTGTATGCACATGTGTGTATGTATGTATGGATGCTTGTATGTATGTATGTATGTATGTGTATGTGTATGCATGAATGCGTGCATGCATGTATGTAAGTATGTGCGTGTACATGTGTGTATGAATGTATGTATGTTTGGGTGTATGCGTAGGTGTGCATGTATGTATGTGTGGATGTATGTGTATGGATGTATGTATGTGTGTAGGTATGTATGTATAGCGCATGTGTGTACGTATGTAAGGTTGTGTGTATGCGTAGTAGACATGCATGTGAGTATGTATGTATGCATGCATGTATGTATGTATGTACATATGTAGGTTTGATTAGTTATGTGCACGTATGAGTGTGTGTGTGTATGTATGATTGTGTATGTGTGCATGTATGTATGTGTGTATGTGTACGTGTGTATGTATGGATGCGTACATGTATGTATGTATGTATGTATTCATATATAGTTGTATGGATTGATGGATGGATGCATGCAGGTATGTATGTGTGTATGCATGTATGTGTGAGGGCCATTTGACGGGCACACGGACGACCGAAATATCCTGCCGAAGGACCCATCCTTATGCAAGTGTGAATACCGCGGTTGTGGACCGCATTCAGTGGAGCTCCGTACAAGGCCATCATGGGGACGCCGTGCGCCCTGTGCCATTTGGGCTCTCGGTGGAGCACCGCATATCGGGTCTGGACGGGGAGAGTCGCGAGGTGTCAGGTTATCTGTTCGGCCCAAGATGGCTCCCAAGACCTCAGAAAGCTCAAGATAACCTCCAAGACTCCTTGCGATGTCCGAGATGGCTCAAGATGGTCTCCAAGGCGCCCCACAAAGGCCCCAAGACTGATCCAAGACGGGTACAAGTGGCCTCGGAGCCTGCAGAGGATGCCCCCAAGAGGCCAAACACGTTCCGGAGCCTATGGAAAAACCATGTGTTTTGCCTTCTCGCCTGATCGATGTCGATGGGCTTTGGAGGCCTCAAGATGGCACCAAGATGGCCAATGAGGGCCCCAACAGAAGCTCAAGAGTGCCCCAAGAAAACCTCAAGAGCGCCCAATAGCGCTGAGCGCTCCAAGAGGCAACTCTGGAGGCTCCTGAGTGGGCGGGGATAGTTGAGGACCGCCCTTCTCTGATCAGCGTCTTCCGAGATGGCCCCAGGAGGGCCGCCCAAGGCTCCCAGGAGGGACCAAAGAAAACCCCACGAGAGCTCCAAAGGCTCCCAAAGTGGCTCTGGGGCTGTGTTGGGGGGCCCCCTCTTCTTCGATCGATGTCCTCCAAGATAGCCCCGAGAGGGCCCACAAAGCCACAAAAAAGACCCCAAGACGCCCCAAGGGGACCCAAAAGAGCCCCAAAGGCTTCCAAAATAGCAGCAAGAGGGCCCCAAGATGGCCCAAGTACGCTATCAAATGGCTCCCCCCAGTCAAAAGATCCGAGAAGACATTTGTGATTGACTGCTGGGTCTGCTCTGGCTGATCCCGAGCTTCGGTTTGACGGCTGACCCCCTTTTCGTTCCACTGTCTGCTGCTATACTTCCATGATCAATGCAATTCGCCCACGCAGCGTTGCTGGATGGCAATTAACTCGAAAATTACCCCAGTGCGACCCTACCTAGGAGTTGGAGCCCCTAGGAAAGCAGCATTAGCAGTAACGGTACACGCCGTCCTCCTCCTTCTCCTCATCGTCGTAGTTGCCTTTGCTTTTGCTTGTTTGTGATGTTGCTTGGTTTTGATGTTGCTTTGCCTTCGCACACACACGCATGTTTTTGCATTCGCTCACCGGGTGGGCTCTCTGACCGTACTAGTGCACATTGCTTTTGCTTTGCCTTTCCTTTGCTTTGATTTTGCTTTTGCTTTGCTTTGCTTTGCGTTGCTAGTGATTTGCTTTGCTGTTGCTGCTGTTGCTTTGCCTTTGCTTTGCTGCTATGATATGCTATGCTGCGCTATGCTGCGCTATGCTATGCTATGATATGTTATGATATGCTATGGTATGCTATGGTATGCTGCGTTATGCTGCGCTAGGCTATGCTACGCTAGGCTGCGCCATGTTCTGCTAGGCTATGGTATGCTATGCTATGCTGCGTTATGGTATGCTATGCTGTGCTATGCTGCGCTATGCTATGCTATGCTATGCTACGCTATGCTATGCTATGCTGCGCTATGCTATGCTATGCTGGGCTATGCTATGATATGCTAAGCTAAAGTAAGCTAAGCTAGGATGAGATACGCAAAGCTAAGGTAAGGGGGCGCAACTGGGGGAACCGCGGGGCGGGGACCGGGGGAACCGCCCGGGGCGGAGCCCACTGCCCGGCCCCTTTAAGCCCAGCGAGTAAAAACCCTCTAGGCAGAGCCTAGGTAGGGAATGAAAGATCCATAGTACAAGCACCCTTTTGGGGAAACATGATTTAGGACGCCTTGCACCGGCCCATGGAACCCCTACAGAGGGAACGAAGCCCATTCTTGGTCACAGTTGCGAGTAAATTTACAAAGGGAGCCCGAGGAAAAGGGATGACCTTAAGGTCCCTGAGCCCCTTTTGGCCCCTTCCAAAACAATATTGGCGTTGTTCCAACGTTTTGACTGTATCTGCTCACCTGGTGATGGCCTCCTTGCCCACAGGGGTGTCGAGCGGGCTGGTTTGAGTCATGATCTGGCGGTGGGTCAGGTCGGGGGGCAAGGACAGCGGGTCGCTCGTCTCGAGGTCCCACTGGCAGCTGGCAGCGAGATGTGACTCAGCATACGTGCAGATGAAGTCCATCACCGTGGAGTTGAAGCTCGTCTCGTCCGCGGTCTGGAACAGGATGAGAAGAGGGGAGAGGGGCAGTGGAGACGAGCAAGGGAAGGAGGAAAAGACAGAGGGATAATTCTGACGAGGCTGTTGGGAAGAAGTGGAAGGAAAAGGAAGGGGATGAGGACGGGAAGGAGAGGAGGAAGAGGATTAGGAGAAGCTTCCTGAAGCAAGGTCGCGATCTTCGGGTCGCTGCTCCCAGAGAGCTTGCTGAGGGCGGATTTCGTGAACTTCGTGGGCGCCGTCAGCCTGAAGAACAAGTCCACCTGAAACGAAGCAGAAGCCCCCGCATCATCCCTCCGCCTTCGTCGTCGGCCTCGTCCTCCGCTCCCTCGTCCCTCCTTTTCCTCCTCCAACCCCCTTCTCCCCCTCCTCCCGATTCCGCCAGCCCTCTGGGCGTAGGTGGTTTAACGAACTCAGCTCTTCCATCTTCCCAAACTTCTTCTCCCCCTGCTCAGGGGAAAGGTTTACCCTTCTCCGTACCCCGTCCCCTGGACCTGTCCAAGGGGGCCTCAGAAAGCCCTACATGGCCTTCAAGATGGCCCAAGACAGTCGAACACGATTTCATATAGCCTCCGACATGTCTCGAAGACGCCCCAACGGCCCCAAGACGGTCCCCTATGCCTTTCGAGTTCTCCAAGGACCTCTGCAAGAGGGCAAGATGGCTCCAAAATCTAAGAAATACCTATGTGTTTGGCCGTCTCGCCGCTTAGCTTCCACACGCCCTGTCTTCATGTTCGGGGCTGGCTGAGGAGTGAATGACCACCGCAAAATCGGAGCTCGGCGAACGGGAGAGTGCGACCGGGGTTCCTTTGCGCCCCTTGGGCGCCGTAGGCGGGCTGATGGGGATACTTTTTGGTCTGCAGGCTCGCGAAGCAAGTCGAAAACCGCCCGAACACTAGCCGGGCCGCGACTAGGCAGCAAGAATAGAGAGAAGCAAGCGAAGCGAGCGCGCGGGCAGCCACTCAGAAGGAGGACCAGGAACGGCACTCCCAACCCGGTGGCGTAAAAATGCCAGTGACGACCATCAAATAGGCGCAGCCAGAATGGCGCGGCGGCGCGACCATGAACACACAGAGGTCGATCACCCGGTGTGACTCGGCATAAGGCCCGACAAAAACGAGCAGGTCCGACAGGCACTCCAAGACGACAACCGTGCCGCGGGTGACACAACAGCATCGTGTCAGCGTCGGGGTGAAGAGGGGGCAGCCGCGTCACAGACAGGACTGCAAACGGCTGATCCTCGTGTACGTATACCCCGCGGCACAGGTCGAAAGCGAAGTCCATGTAGGAGAAAGCAGCCGACGGGCGCCCAGAGCCACACATGCCGAAGTCCATGCACCGAGGACGACGGCAGCGTAGCGAGACCCCACGGAACCCAAACGGTCACCAATGGAGGCTAACACCAAGCAGGAGCAGGCCAGGGGCCACCGGACCGCCCATCCCAACTGTAGTCCCTGAATGGAATCCCAAGCGAGACTTGACGGAACCCTCCCGGTCACCAGTGGAGGCCGACACCAGCCAGCAGCAGATCAGAGGCCACCTGACCGCCCGTTCCCAGTGTGAACCTGGCATGGAATTCAGGCTGTCAGAGCACCATCAAACAGCGGTATTGGCGGCAACACCAGCCGCGTAGGATGAACCCGGTGAAACGAGGGAGGGGAGGGGATGTGCACGCCAGGCACGGTAGGCAACCCGTTGTGGCAGCTAACCGCTGCGGCAATAGGAAGCAGGAGACACGAGCATCGGAGCCCACTGGACCCTTTCGGCCATCAGCAGGGGGGGAGTGGCGTCGGCCTCAGGCAGCCAGTAGGCACCGCATCACCCAGTCCCGGTGTAATACTTGATCCCAGGGCGGCTGGATGTTCCAGGGGTCGTGTTGCCAGTGGGTTGGGTTGGACGGTCAGCAGGGTTCTCTCTGTCTTGGCCCTGCCCCCCACCCTGCGACTCGCGACTATCTTCACACTCAGCCCGGAGGAAGCGACTGACCGTCGCAGAGGCTATTGGAATCCGAGGCGGCTGGGTGTTCCCAGAGGTCGTGTTGTCAGTGGGTTGTGTTGGACGGTCGGCGAGGTCCTCACTGTCTTCTCCCTGCCCCTTCTTCTGTGGCTCGCGACCCGTTTCGCATTCTGGTGGGGATACTTTTTTGGCCGCAGCCGCGCAGCAGAGGGCAGGCGGCGAAGGGGGTCCGGGGCACGGGCCAGCCTAATTAGCTACTAAGCGACACGCAAGCCGGCCGGGCCAGCACTCAGAAGCGGCGGCTGAGGTGAAGTAGCGGCTGGTGGAACTGGATGGCTGGTCTGCAACGCCCAGGGAAGCTGATGCATCTTGCAACCCTGAGGCAGGGGTGCCAGAGGTAGAAGTAGGAACTGCACGCCAGGGACGCCTGTCCAGCACTGTGCAAGTGCCATGCCGCGAACTGGGGGGCGCTGCCACTGCTGGTGGACCGGAAGGCGGTGCGCAGCCAGGAACGGAGCTGGGCGAGCACGTTTGAGCACAAACACCGTGGCCAGGAGAGACCAGGTACAGACTGACCATGTCGCCGCGGGGCGCCAAGGGCCAGGGCCGCGCCTCTGGTGGGGATACGCGAAGCGTCAAACATTTCCTCCTCCAGCCTGCCCGCTGCTCCCTCTTCTCCCCGTGCTCCTCGTTGTCGCCCTCCACATGCCTCCATTTCCATTATCCCTCCTCGTCTCTCCTCCCCTCTCCATCCTCTCCGCTCAATCCTCTCCGCTCCCCCTCCCTTCCCTCCCGCCGCCCCCCCTCCCCCCCAGGAGGGAGCGAAGAAGGAGCGTGAGGATGGGTGGCAAAGATATGATAAATGAGAGTGGGCGAGGAAAGGGAAGGGGGAGGGGGAGAGGAAAGAGGGGGGAGGGGGAAAGGAATGAGAGGGAGGAGGGGGAGAGTGGAGAGGAAAGAGAGGAAGGAGGGGGAGGGAAAGGTAGAATAAAGGAGAGAGGGGGGAAAGGGGAGGAGGGTGAGGGGGAAGCGGCAGCCCGCGTAGCAGGAGCAGCAGCAGGAGCATGAGCAGGAGGAGGCAGGATGATGCCGAGGGATCCAGGACGCGAGCTCGCGCCCTCTGGAGGGCCGCCCCTTGCAGAACAGAAGCACACAAGTATCGCCAGCCCTGTTCTCAAGGAAGACGAGGCACGGGCAGCGGTATCGGTATCTGCATCTCTTCCTCATCCTCCTCCTCCTCCTCCTCATCATCCACCTCCTCCAGCAGCTCCTCCTCCTCCTCCTCCTCCTCCTCCTCCTCCTCCTCCTCCTCCTCCTCCTCCTCCTCCTCCCCTCCTCCTCCTCCTCCTCCCCCTCTCCATTATCAATAACTCCTCCCTGTCACACCCCGAGGCCAATCAAAATTGCGGGCCCAATTGTTCGCCTGGGACTGCCTCACCACCCATTCGTTGAAACAGAACTAGTTGAAACAGGTTCACGGCTCTCGCCTTACCGCAGCGCACACTCGTTGTAAAGGCTTCAAGACCTTTTTACGGATAGAGGACGGATCGTTTTCAAAAATGTGGCTCTCGCCTGAGCGCCGCGCACATTCGTCCTGAAAGTTTGCCAGAGCGTCACAGATGGAGGGCGGGTAGTTTTCAAAATGTGGCGCTCGCCTCGTCGCCGCGCAGATTCGTTGGTGTTCAACTTTGCACAAATTCCACGGATGGAGTGCGGGTCGCTGTCAAAGTGTGGCTCTCGCCTCAGCGCAGCGCTCATGCGTCCTAAGAGTGCGCAAGAGCTTCACGCATGGAGGGCGGCTCCTTTTCGGAATGTACTTCTTGCCCTCGCGCCGCGAACATTCCTCTTAAAAGCGTGCAACAGTTCCGAGGAATCGCATGAACAACGTCCCAGAGAAATTGTTTTGGCACGATGTCGGAATGCCAGGACGCAACAGGAACGTTGACGAGCGGTGTGAAATTCATGGAATGGCGTCCTGGCACGACCTGGGATCGTCAAGACGCAACTGTAACGGCAATTCACGGCGTTGAAATCCCAGGAATGGTCTTCTGGCACAATTGCAGATGTTCAAACGGTTGTCTTCCAATGGGGCACCTTCCTCAGTGAAAATGAACCCTGGGAGGGGCCTTCAAAGAGAGAACTTGACGGAAGAATGTATTGCAACATCGTTGACGGGTCTTGGGTTTCCACTGGTCATGCTCCTCCTCCTCCTCCTCCTCCTCATCCTCCTCCTCCTTCCCCTCCTCCTCCTCCTCCTCCTCCTCCTCCTCCTCCGCCCCTCATCCTCCTCCTCCTCCTCCCCCTCCTCCTCCTCCTCCTTCACCCATGAGCCTGTGACAGCAGTCTTGGGGACACGCTGGGGGTCCTGTGGGGGCCCATCCGTGAGGCACGAAGGCGCGAGCGATGGGCGTGCCGAGACGGGGCCCGTTCCTGCCGGGCCGCCCCCCGAGGGGGCCCCCGCCTGGAGGCCCTGCAGGGCGTTGGGGCGCACGACGTTCTGGAGGAGCGGCGCGAGCAGCAGGCGCTCGACGGAGCCCGAGACCAGCACGGCCACGCGGTTCTGCGCGGGCGCGGGCGCCTGCAGGGCGACGCAAGCCATGCTCGGGGGCGGACGATCGAGAATTGGCGGCGAGCGAGGGGGGGGAGTGAGAGGGAGAAGGCCTTCTCAGAAGGCGGCGGGACTTTTCAAAAGCCCTCGCGCCGTCTGGGAAGTTCTCTTTGTCTTCGGGGAAGGTTTAGAGAACTTCTCAGAAGGCCAGGGGGCTTCCGAGCCTCCTGAGAAGGCCCGCCCCTTCTCACTTCCCCCCCTCGCTCGCCGCCGAGAGAGGAGGGCGGCGGCAGAGGGAAGGTGAGCGAGCCAGCCGCGTGCAGCAGGTCTTCCTAGCGCCTCCCGACGTGGAGGCGGGCATGCGGCGGAGCCAAAACCAGCTGCGTGCAGCAGATTCCGCACACCCACTCCTTTCCCAATCGCCGCGCCCCCCTCCTTGTCTTAGGTCGGGCACGTCCTCCAACAGGCGGAAGCTGGATGAAAAAACAAAAACCATAAGAAGAAAAGGCCCCGAAGAAAAACACGTAAATAGTCCCCAAACCGTTGTTGTACTATTCTTGAATATGAGTTGTGTCAGAATGAGGGGGCCGAACAGTCATTCACTGTCCATGGATGCGTGGCTGAAGTGGGATTCCGCGATGCGGATTCATGTTGTTGCTGTTGGTGTTGGCGTTGTTGGTGGCGTTGTTGTTGGTGGTGGCGATGGTGGTGTTACTGGTGTTGCTAGTGGTGCGATTGTTGATGTTGATGGTATTGGTGTTGTTGTTGGTGGTGGTGCTGTTGTTGGTGTGTGTGTGTTGTTGCTGCTGCTGCTGCTGTTGTTGTTGGGTATTGTTGGTGTTGATGATGTTGTTGTCGTCGTTGTTGTTGCTGCTGGTGGTGGCGTTGGTGTTGTTGTTTCTTGTTGAATGTGTTTGTGTGTTTGGTAATGTGCTTGTTTGTGTGCTTGTTTGTGTTTGTTTATGTGCTTGTGTGTTTGCTTGTATGTTTGCTTGTATGTTTGTTTGTGTGTTTGCTTGTTTGTTTGTTTGTTTGTTTGTTTGTTTGTTTGTTTGTTTGTTTGGCTTCGTCCCCCCCGCGACCCGGCCCGCGACCCACCCGCGACCCACCCCGCGACCCACCCCGCGACCCACCCCGCGACCCACCCGCGACCCACCCCGCGACCCACCCCGCGACACACCCGCGACCCACCCCGTGCCCACCCGCGACCCACCCCAGGACCCACCCCGCGACCCACCTCGCGACCCGCCCCGCGACCCACCCGCGACCCACCCACGACCCGCCAGCGACCCGGCCGCGACCCACCCTGCGATCCACTCACACTGTTTTTCACGAAACAAGCAGCGTCTGCGGCGGGCTCACTGCATGATTTGTATATATAAGTTTGGCGCGTGCCGCGGGTTTCTTCAGAGCCTCGCGGACTGCCAACGTCCTCGCGACCCCCTGACTCTTATCCGCAACTGCGGGGTGTACGTACTATTCTTGAACATGTCTCCTGCAGAGGGACATGCCCGACTCGATCCTTGTCCGACCCGACGTCGACACCTGCACCGATCCTGGGCCCAGGGTCGGCCTGGCAGACCATCGGTGCAGGCGCGAGCGCCGACGCCCTCCGAGCCTGCTGCTCCTCCGCCGGCCTCTTCGCGCGGCGGCCCCAGGGCCACTCCCCCTGCGCCTCCTGCGCCCCCGCCAGGTCGCCGCCCGCCTGCCGGGGGGAGAGGGGAGGGCGCACACGCCGGTCGGAAGAGGCAGGTAGAAACAGGAAGCAGGAAGGCAGATGAAGCAGATAAATGGGACCACTGGCTCACGTCCACGAGAAACGCAAAAGACAACCAAAACACGTCGAGTCTTGGAGTCGCGAGGCGCTTGAAATAAGCTGGGATCTGGGAGTCCAAACACACCTACTTTCAACGACTGGCATGTAGGGGGCGGAGGAGAGCGAGGATGAGCGAGGGGGGGAGGGGAGCCCAGACAATCGGCGTCTCGAAGTCAGCGGGGGCGGCCCGTCGCACTGGGCCCCAGAGCCATGAGCAAGACAGTTCGGGATGAAAGCCTGGCTCTTGAGCAAAGGGGCCGACAGGCCTGGGGGCCCATGTCGCGGCAAAAACAATGCCGCCAGATGCGGCACGCTCTTGATCAAACGGACGGATTTACTTCCATGCTACCCCGCACAATGCGAACAGGGGAGACGAGAGAGAACCCTTTGTCAGCCACAGGCCAAGCGCCCCTGGCGCGCATTGACACAAGGGCGAAAAAGTGCAGGGTGGGGGGAAGGAGAAGCGCAGCTCCAGCCGATCAGCTAGATAGGGAGGAAGGGAAAGAGAGATAGGCGCGCCTGCTGCAGGACGTCCCCACATCAAAGCGGTGCACTAAAACAAACAGATGTCCTTCCATGCTACCCCGCGCAATGAGTGAAGGGGGGACGAGGGGGGGGGGGCCAGATCAGGGAGGGAGGCTGGCGCCAGGGCCAGGACCAGGACCAGGGGGACGACGACGAACGAGAACAAAGGATCCGGCGCGAGGGGGGGGTGGGTCCAGGGCCAAGCCCGGGGGTACGACGACGAGCGAAAATGAAGGGTCCAGGGAGGGGGGGGGGGGGGGGGGGGGGGTTTTTTGGCGAAAAGGGTTCAGCCCCGGGCCAGGCGCCCACACCACTCCCCCGAGCCACGGGCCCTCCGCCGCCCCCGCGCGGCCGGGATCGAATCGACCGCCGCCCACGGGCCGCCGGTCCGAGCGGCACGCAGAGAGGCGGCAGTGTGACACGGCGCCGCCCCACCACCAACAATGCCGCCCAGGGACCCCAGAGGGGCCCCACTGCCGCGCGGAGTCTGCCTTGAAGGGGCCCCAGGACACACACACACACACACACACACATACATGAATACACACAAAAATACAAATATTCCCCATATTTTCCCATATTTTCTCGGTTTCTGTCTTCCCCCCACTTCCCATATGTTCCCATGTTTTCTGGGGAATCGAGGATTAATTGTGTCTGTGTTTTTCCTCTCCTGATACCCGTTCTCCGCTCTGGTCAAAACTGCTTGGCGACCCGCCTGTCCCAGCGACCTCTCGGGGAAACCTCGCCAGGGGGGTGCCTTGGAGAACTCTGCACCCTGCGGGCGCTCTCGCCTCCCTCGGCCTCCCTCTTCTCGCTGGCACTCCCAGGGGTGGGCTGGTAAGGATATACTCGTTGGGGGCTTTCAGGGAGACCTCGAGGGTGAAAGAGTCCAGCTCCAGATAGCGCTTACCAAGAGGGTGTGAAGCAATCACCTTGCGGGCGAGGAAGCTGTCCTGACGCCAGACGGACCTCACAACACTCTTGAGCACCACAAACTTGGCGAACAACTCACCAGGGTGCTTCTGGGTAAGCAAATTCCGAACGTGCCTAGCAGCCTCCCTGATCATAGACGTCTGAAACTCCAACAGCAATGCAGGAGACATTGCCTCGTCCTTGGTGATTTCGCAAACCTTTTCCAGGAAGGCCCTGAACTCTGGATGCTCGCAAACCGTTTTGGGAATCGGGAGCTCGTCCAGGGACACAGGGGGGCTGCAGTCAAACTTAAAGTACCCAGGAGCATGATCCGAGATCTCCTTGGCGTCAAGGACCTCGGCCATCTCGAGACATTACCCAGACAAGTACAGGTGATTCATCACCCACCCAGGATTAGATATGAAACATCTGTCAATATTCTCCTCCTCCTCCTCCTCCTCCTCCTGCTCCTCCTCCTCCTCCTCCTCCTCCACGCTGGGAGCCGCCTGGGCGGGCTCCAGGGGAAAGCAGAAGAGGAGAGAGGGAGGAAAAGGGGTGGATGAGACGGAGGAGAAAAGAGGGAAGGACGTAGAGGGGGGCTCAAGAAGGACCAAAGTGGCCAGCTGTAGGAGGCACTGGTCAAGGATGGAGCCGCCTGGGCGAGCTGTCAGGCCTCCGCGGGAGTATCCGTGGCCTCCCGAGGCCTCCACAGTCATTTGGAGGTCAAAAACTAGATCCTCGACCCTCAGGCCTCTATCCTACTCGATCCTCGGACCTCGGACCTCGACAGTCTGTCCTCCCCTGGGAGGAGGAGGAGGAGGAGGAGGAGGAGGAGGACGAGAAGGAGGAGGAAAGGGAGGAGGAGGAGGAGGAGGAGGAGGAGGAGAAGGAAGAGGAGGAGGAGGAGGAGGAGGAGGAAGAGGGCGAACGGCAGTATGAAGAGCGGCAGGACGAAAACGAAAAGGGCCGCCTGAGCGAGCTCTGGCTGCTGGGCCTGCAAGGCCAGGCCATCCGCGGCCAGCGACAGCGCCGCCGCGACCGCCGCGGCGCGTGCGAGCATCGTTGCGAAGGCGTGTAGTCGCACCGATCAAGATACAAGGACAAGTGTCGTGATGAACCAGGGACTGCCGCGGCCCTGAAGGAGAGCGGCTGCATCGGACTCGGAGTTTCGAGGACCGGGGTTTCGGCACTTCTATCCACACTCACAGGCCTCTGGGGGGCTTCTCGGCGCCACGGCTGGGTCCGCTTGGAAACTCTGACCAGAGAGCACCACAGACTGACTCGGTGCGGCTGCGTCGGACCCAGAGCAGGAGGAACGGAGGGGAGGAAAGCGAAGTCTCGCATCTCGAGAACCGGGGCATTCGATCTTTGTGGTCCATTCGGGGCCTCTGGCAAGTTCCTCGTCGCCACGGCTGGACTCCTTTGGAAACTCTCGCCAAAACGCATGCGAGGGCAGGTCTGGAGACATTTCCTGGGGGACTGCGACGAGGAGGAAAAGAAGGAGAACAAGGAGGAGGAGGAGAAATGAGCAGGAAAAGGAAAGAAAGGAGGAATGAAACGGGGAGGAAGAAGCAGAGGAAGCAGAAAACAAAGAGAAGGGCGAGAAGCGAGAGAAACGAAAGATGGAAAAGTATTGGAGGAGGGTGGGGGTTGGAAGGAGGAAGGAGAAGGGAGGCTGGAGAAAGGAAGGCGGGGGAGGAGGGAATATGGATGTGGATGGGGGAGGTAAGAAGACGCTGGAGAGGAAGAGGAAGTAAAGGGGACTACTCTGACAAGGAGGAATGAAGTAGAGGAGAAGGAGCACGAGAAGGATTGGAAGGGGGCGAAAGGAAAGCGCAGAATGTGTGGAGACGGTGAAGGGGAGAGGGAACACATGATGAATATTACCGGTAGGGTAAGAATTTGTAAGAAAACACGAAAGAGGGGGCAAGAAATAGAGAAAAAGGGAAGAGGGAGTGAGCATGGAGGCTGGAGGGATGATGGCAGAAAAGGAGAGGGGTGAGGAGAGTGGATGTGAATGAAGGAGTACGAGAGAGGGAGGAAAGAAAGATGAGGAAGAAGAAACAATGAAAAGGCAAAAAGAAGATGGCGGAGGCTGACAGCGGGAAGGGGAATCGTGCGCAGGAGGAGGGAATGAATAAACACGAACAACAGGTGTATAATGACGGACAAGCCCACTGCATGAAAGCGGGATGGGCGGACAACCCAGATGGCGACGGGTGATGTTACCGAACCACGGACGCCGCCTATGCACAGCACGTAAGGCAAGACCAAGACCAGGTAAAATGTGCCTCCATCTCATCCACTTGTTTCACAATGCCACCACCGCAGGAAACGACGCGCTTCTTTGCGACTGACTCGCAAGAGACACGCCTTTCCGGATGCCTGGCATCATCTTTGCCGCGCCTGCAAAATGGACTCATCTCGATGACCAAATCGCAACCTTTCGACGGGCCAGTGGCCATTTGCATGGCATACAGATTCCCAGTGCTGGTCCTTGCCTTGTTGGCAACCATGGTGGGCATCAGCTCCTGCTTCGCGCCTGCACCGGCCTCGGCAATCTCTGTCGGTCCGTCGGCCACGGGAACTGCCACATCAAGCAATGGACGACCCGATGTGTTGATCCCACGCCAAAGATTCTGGACCGCGCGCCAATGATGATAATTTTCGGTTGCCTGGGGAGGCCTGGGTCGAGGTTCGCGCCGCGTTGGAAAGGCGCCGACACATGATGCGCAAGCTGCGCGCATCGTCGCTGGGTTAGTGCGTCAGCACGCATAAGAGTGACAAGCCGGCCATCGGTGTCGCGTAGCACATTGGACCCAATGGCGAGGATAGTCCAGGCGGCTTCGCTGGCTTGCCTGGCCGTGGCAAGCTGCTCCAGCGCGTGAAGCCAGTACTTCAATTCGACCTTCGTACTCCAACCGGCCACCACTGGATGAATCTGCACCGGGCTGGTGGCCAGAGCGCCGGCAGTGATCGGTGAACACGAAGGCACCATAGCTCGACGGTTCCAGAATCACCACGCACACACCGCCGAAATGTCCGGGGCCTGGATGCGCCAGGCACCCGACACCGCACCATGGAACTGCAGGCCTCCAATCAGGGGTGGCGGAGCACCAAAACCTGATGCCTGTGAGGCGATCAACCTTTCGTCGCCCCATGACACGACACGGAAAGCGGCGCGCACGATGTACCTCGACTGCGCGTCGGCAACGACGCTGACGCGGGACTGCAGGCCACGCCCCTTGAAAGCCTCGCCCAGCTGTTCGCCTGACTGCGCCAGCGGCCATCAACGCGGCAAACAGCGCCAGCTTCACACCCCACGCAGGGGAAGCGATGGGCAGACCGACAATGCCAACGCGGCCCTGGTCGTCATAATCGGCCACCCCACCCGCGAGACATCGAACTGCCGCCCGAGTTCACACGCTTGGGATCAGAATCGCAACTGCATGACGCGGTGCACCAGTCGCGCTTCGAGCACACTGACGCCCCGTGATCAATCGATCCAGACCATCCACCCACACCGACTCAGGCCCATCAACTTCGCGCGCGGCAATGCAGCCACGACGCCAGCAAGAAATGCCACTCAGAAACCGATCGTCACTGAGCAAACGAAACTCGGTCGAGTCGATGATACTGGATCTGCGAATGTTGGCAAACGCTGGCCTGCGTCAGCATGCACAGGACCCGCATATTGGGAGGGGCGGTCGTCCATGCGGGCCTCCGAGCAATTGGTTATCCTTCAGCCTCGCCCTTTGCTGGCTTGGCAACACGATCTATATATCACGGCGATGACCTGCTGCTTTCCATGCCCAACGCGAACCTGCTGATTTGCCATTGCCGCCACGAGCAGCGTCATCATGGATCGCCTGCAAATAAAGCCGAGTGGCCGACACTCTCGAAACAGAACCGTACGAGCGGGCGCGGACCTGAAAAGCGGCGCATTGGACAGGAGCTTTGTTGCGTGCGCGAGAACGGCGGCAGGCTGTTCCATCTCATCGAACATGCTGAACCGAAGATCATCGATGCCATGGTCCACACTGGTCAGTGCGATGAAGAGACCGATTGCAACCACTTGAACTGCAGTGGGCAGGAGCGTCAGATTGCATTCGGGCAGCCTGCCGTCGTGCATCCCCGTGCTGAGCAATGTCCAAGTCTGGCACGCGAAGTGCCGCAAGACAGATTTGCGCACCGAAGGGCGCGACGTCCGCGGGAAGAGCAAGGGCGCCGCCTGGCGGCGGGGCCGCCACTGGTGGCTCCTCTCTCGGCGGAGCCACCAGCGGCTTGGCAGCGGCCACCTTGCCCGCCTTGCTCATCAGCATAGCTGAACCAAAGACCAATGCCAGTCTTAGCATTGGAAAATTAAGCAGCTGCGTCCTGACGCCGCGCGACAGACAACATACAACTGCTGAAGGACCACGCAAAGATGCCAGCGCACCTCCTGCCCCGCCCATGGCTCCGACGCGCAGCTTTTTCTTGCCAAGCTGCGCGCCGGCGCGAGGATGCTCGCAGCCCGCAGTGTCAGACGGCACCGAGAATGAAGATCCCTCTCGGGGGGTCCCGATCGACAACTGCCGCGCCTATGATCTGCGACAGCATCACGACAGGACCACTCGCATCCAAAGGTGGGATGAGAATGCCCTCCTCGGCAGGTCCAGTCATCCGCACGCCGGCGATGCCACTGCGAAGCCGTCGGCACGGGCAGGCGGCATCTTGCGACCTCTCGCTGGATTGGCGCGCGAAGGCTCGAGGCACATGCGCGCCAGGCCGTCTGGCATGCATCAAGGCAGGCCCAGAGCAGTTTGCATGCAGCACTAGTTGCAGCAGTATCATGAGCATCATTCTAGAGGACCAAGAAGCCTAGGGTCGGCCCCCTGCTCGAGCCATGACCGAAAAACTTTTCAAAATTTTCCACTTGTTGGCGCTGACGCGCAGGTATACGCGAGACATGAACAGCTCAGCAGCCATGATTGAAATAAAATCACCTTGTAATCAATACTGCGATCAATCGTAGAGGCGTCGCTGCTCGGACAGAAGCTCTACGAGTTCCTCCGGGAGCTCCCCAGCTCAAGGTTCCCGGCTCGAGAACGCGTCGGCTGAGTTGATCCCCGCTGCCTGGGAAACGTCCCGCGGGGTCGAGTCAGTTCGTTCTCATGCTTCTTTGTGATCCACGATATCACAATATTGTACACAGTGGGCTGCGAGCTAGTTCTGTTCTTCTATCTACGCATCATTTCGTTGCGAACTTTCTCTTGTCGCCACGTCGTGGGATGAGCCCGAGGATCAGAGGGCTCTACGCTGCCAGCTCGGTCTTGATAAGTGGGACGAGAGTGTTGAGGGTCAGTGGAGGAGACAGGCGCTGAGTCCGAACCTTGATTATCCTGATCGAGAATCGCCTTAGGGCCATCAGTTTCGTGAGATCTTGGAAAGAGCCAGCAGAAAACGACAGCAGGTGGATAGAGATCGAAAGTTATTGCACCGCTGGGACATACCTTTTTAACGAAATGCCGACTGGTCCAATAGGAGGCGTTGCGACGGATCCTCATATTAACAAACGCAGGAGAGGGAAGGATGATATTGACGAAAGGAACGCAAAGATGCAGGCATGTTCAGACCCCTATCAGAAGACGATGCTGACTTTGTTATATAGAACTGAGGATACTCAGGATGAGATGAAGGATGCCGCGGCGGCGTCAGCGGCTGACATCAAACGTGTTCGCAATGTTCTAGCGGAGCACACACCACATGGATAAACCAGATGAGCGCATGCATGAACTAGAGAAGACCATTGAAAACTACCCAGCAGGGCTCCTCACTTGGCCCCCACGTTTCCTCACTTGGCTCCTCATGATGGGGGTGCACCCACGAGCGGCGCGGCCGGACCTCAAGGAAGAATCATGAGACTCGCACTGCACAGATGCTCACTTGGACGGATACTATGAAACTCATGGACAAGATGTTCAATCAGATTTCTCTTGATGACCAGGCCTCTTTAGCACGGAGGGGACTGAGAAGACAAACGCAGGGCGTACTATGCTCGGAAGTGCCAAAACCAAGTTC